TTTCAAAAACTCAGCAAAATATTTGTAATAAGATATATACAATTTTTGAACGTATAAAATTTGATTCATTTTTATATATTAGTTTCTTGGAGATAATTGTTAGTTTATAAGTTATAATCTCACAACTTTAGATGTTACACAAGAAGTTGCATGTAGATACATTTTTGTAGATTTTTGAAATTATTACAAAAAACCAAAAATTGCAAAATCACGTTTATACAATTTGAGCTTATAAATTCTGCACATTTTTTCTGAACACCTTTTGAATATAATTGTAAGTTTATAAGTTATAAGCTTACAACTTCAGATTTTCCACAAGAATTTTCAAAATGGTTGCATGTATCACTGCACTCAATAAGTCCGTAGGATAACTGAGAAAAACCAATTTTTTTGGCAAAATTCTTTTTTTTATTCCATATAGTTTTCTTCGAAAACCATATACCGATTACAGCTACCTTCAAACTTTTCGAAACTATTTTTGTAGTACGATTTGTACTTAGCCACAAAATTCGGCTATCATCTCATCATTTGGCAAAAATTTTCTTCAGATCAACTCGGAGCCCAATTCATGTGCCACCACTTTTCACGGATTTGTGACTTGGTGCTTTGTCCTGATAAAGCACCACAGGTTTCTTTTCAAATGGTGGCGTTTTTTTTTTCGATTTTGATCTTCAAATGTTCCAGCAACGTTATACAATAGTCACTGTTGATAGTCTGGCCTTTTTCAAAATAGGCGATGAAGATCATTAGTTGCAAATCCCCAAAAAATTGACGCCATAACCTTGTCAGTTGATTGTTGGAATTTTTGCTCGTCATCGTGTCTAGTCTACTCGCCTGACCAGGTGGCAACTATGGTGAAGCCAGGTCATATCCATGGTGATATATTGATGAGGAAAAGATCTAGAAAATATAGTGAGTGAGGAAGCAACTCGGAACCTAATTCATGTGCCACCACTTTTCACGGATTTGTGACTTGGTGCTTTGTCCTGATAAAGCACCACGGGTTTCTTTTCAAATGGGGCCGTTTTTTTCGAGTTTGATCTTCAAATGTTCCAATTACGTTATACAATAATAACTGCTGATGATCTGGCCCTTCTCAAGATAGGTGATAAAGATCATTAGTTGCCAATCCCAAAAAATTGACGCCACAACCTTGCCAGATGAGTGTTGGCATTTTTGCTAGTCCACTCGTCTGATCAGGTGGCAAATGGTAAAGCCAGGTCATATCCATGATGACATATTGATGCAAAAACTCAGTTTTATTTCGATTAAACTGCTGCAAATACTTTCACGGATCATCATCTCGTTATGCTTTTGGTCAATGGCGCGACACCTATTTAGCACAGTGGTTTTTCCTATTCAAATATTTGCGAACGATATGTCTATCACATTGTTCTGTTGATATCTTTAGGCTGTCAGCTATCGTTTCGGTGGACTTTTTTGATATTTTGCGGTGATTTTGATAACCACCTCAATTGGCCTTCCCGAGCGTTCTGCATCGCTAGTGCCAGTATGGCCAAGATTAAAATCAGCAAACCACTTCAATAATTGTCTCGATTTGGCACAGTTCACATGCGATACTGTGGAGCAATGGCGTTTTTACCCATCAAAATTCTCAGGTATTTTCACTTTTCGGTTTTCCAAAACGTTTCGATGGACTCTTTTGATACTTTTCCAGTGTAGTCACCTCAATTGAACTTCCAGAGCGTTCAGCATCGTCAGTGCCAGTATGGGCATGATTAAAATTAGCAAACCACTTCTCCAATAATTGTCTCGATTTGGCACAGTCCACATGCAATACTTTGGCAGCAATGGCGTTTTTACCCATCAAAATTTCCTCGAATTCATGGTTTCGAAAAACTCAAAAGTAGCGTCACTAGAACCTCTATAACTTGTAAACTAATCGTCAGATTGTCATGAAACTATGGCATATATCTTCTTAAAATGTTGCTTCCTACAAATTATATAACTACATAGTTATATAAATTATATGACTACAAAGCGACATCATCTATGTGTCATCCTACGGACTTATTGAATGAAGTAATGGATACAATTTTGTAGATATTAAAAAACTAACCAAAAAATTGCAATATCATGTTTATGCAATTTGAAGCTTATAAAATTCTGCACATATTTTCCTGGAACACTTTTAAATTCAATTGTTTGTTTATAAGTTGTAAGCTCACAACTTTAAATGTTCCACAAGAATGTTCAAAATACTTGCATGTAATAGGTAAAGTTGTATTCTTAATATTTCCTACAAATTATCTAATGCACATTTTATCTATTTAGATTATATTAAAAGTTTACAAAGTTTCTGTTCTCGATTAAATTTAAATAGTTTAAGCATCGTTTACTTTATTAAAACTTGTTCTTGTTATTTAAATTAAATAGTTCTTTCAATTAAATTCTGTAGTTTATTTATCTGAATTATTTGCAAGATAATATAGTGTTATAATTTTTTCCATTAATCTTTCAACTTTTTTCAACATTGATACTTTTATCCACGATTTCATAAGTAAATAACTTTTAGATGAATATCTGTAATTGAAAAAAGTTTCAGCAAAAAATGTTTACAATTTTATAAACTTTAACGTACCGTTTTCGGATTTGTTTGTTTTTTTTAACGAGATTTTTTTATATAATTACAAAAGTTTAAAAGTATTTTTCTTTACAGAAAAAAATGTATGTGAATTTTGAATGAATTTATAAATTGAAGCTATAGATAAAATGTATATTAAAATATTTTATTAGTGAAATTATGCAGATACATTCACTTGTTTTTTTATATAGGTGGTGGACCTTTAAGCCCCCAATAACGACCAATTTTTGAATCAAATTAATTTCAAAAATCTGCAAAAACGCGGTCAAAATTTTAGTCAGTCTGCGTGCTTTAGTAGGGCGTTATAGACTACCCTCGTTATAACGCTCTTAAACAAAAATATGAATTAAACAAATTGTTAATTTTTAACTTAGAAACTTATAAGCAAATATGTTTAATTATTTTTATTTAATTAGACAAATAACTTTTATCAATGATGTAAAATAAAAAAAGGATCGAAAATTTTAGTCAGTCTGTGTGCTTTAGTATGGCGTTATAGACAACCCTCGTTATAACGCTCTTAAACAAAAATATTAATTAGCAAATTGTCAAGTTATAACTTATAAACTTATAAGCAAATAAGCAAATATGTTTAATTATTTTTATTTAATTAAACAAATAACTTCTATCAATGATGTAAAATAAAAAAAGGATCGAAGAAAAAGTTGTTAATAAAATTTTACTTTATGCAACATTAATATATATTTAAAACCGTAAATATTATACATTTATATACATACATGTATAAATGTATACACATTTATATACATTTTTGTTGTATAAAATGTATAACAGATGCAATGAAATAGAATATATAACAAGCTGGCTTGTGTTGACAAAGCGATTATATACATATATACATACATATGCTCGTATAATTATATATATATATATATATAATATATATATATATACAAAAACCCACATAACATTCCTTAATAAGATTTTCCACAAACATGTACACCAGAGCAAAATCAGAATTGTCAAGTACAGACGAAGCTTTCAATTGAATTTATAAATATATACATTTATATATTTATATATATATATATATAATTATATTTATAAACATTTGTCTTTTTCTGTTACAGATTTTCCAGGACCAAAATCAACATCAGTGCAAAAACATTCTAAAAATAAAATTTACAAATATTTAGATTTGTCTTGTCAATTCTAAACTGAAAAAAGACCTAATTATAATTGTCAATTAATTAAGTCATTTATAAATACCTAATTATAAACAAATATTTGCAATAGCAAATGCAAAGTGTACTAAATTAAATATTTCACTAATTAATTATTGCATATGAATTTCTCATATTAAATCACTGTTGCATATTTCATATGTTCATTAAAATGTAATTTAATAACAAATTTCAATTAAGTGATAATGAAATATACACTAATCATAATTTAATGAAAATTACAATAAAAAACTGTGTTTAATTGCGAGTTCAAAATGTGTAAAAAATATTGTGGATGCCATCCTGAATTTTTGGTGGTCTTCAAAATGAACCAAATAAATATTTGCTGTTTGCAGAATGCAATCAATAAAATATCAATACTAAATAAAAAGTTGTAAATGAAAAAGCCAAGAGTGAATATTCCATTTTCAAACATTTCCATTTGCCTCACATCCAAAATCCTCTGAATTATTTATGACTCCAATAAAAGTTTTAGAGTTTTATTCATTAATCTAATAAAATTTCCAAGTGACTTGAATCCATAATCAATTCATTATTAATCTAATGTTTATATTCCTAAAAAAATCCACGTATTTCTGATCTATTCATCAAACCACTAAAATATCCATATGCTACCAATTCGTCATCCATGCATTAATAGTCCATTATCATGATCCAAAAAACCAAGTAAATCTCAATCTGATTTCAAAAATTCCACTTCCAATTCATCATCCATGCACCAATAGTCCAATACATTAACAATTCCCTCTTCTTGATCCATCACTTCATTATGGCCGACAACCTGACCTCCGGCACCAGGTTCGAGTACTGCGGTCCTGGTCTGGACAGCTTCCACACCTTTTACCTCGGCCTGCACGGCTACTTCGCCCTCAGCGTCTGCATCTTTGGATGCGTTGCCAACCTGCTCAACATCGTCATCCTGACCAGGAGAGAGTTGAGGTCGCCGACCAACGCCCTGCTGACGGGATTGGCTGTCAGCGATTTGCTGGTGATGCTGGATTATGTGCCATTTGCCAGCCACATGTACCTTTGGCATGGTAAAAGGTCCAGGGAGCAGATGTATGAGTACGGATTGGCGCACATGGTGTTCTTCCATGCGATATTCACTCAGGTAAGGGGTAAAAGATAGATGTCCTAATTGGGCAGTATCTTGATTAACCAACTTATCAGTCACTTTGTACCTCAAAGTACTCCTCCTACTACATCCCACTTTATTACCTGGAACTTTAGCTATTCGACTTTCATCAGGAATAATTTGAAGTTGTACCTTAAATACGACTTCCGAAAGGTTAACGTTGCCATTAAGCAGACCTAACCCTTTTCAATTCATTGTAAAGCATTCATTTTTCTTTATTTTGATTTGATACATATATAATTTGATAGGATAGAATTTTGCTTTCAAATTTAGTGGATAAGAATTGTGAAAAGCGGTTAAATATGAAGACCTTCAGATATTAGCCCAAAAGTTCTGCACAGAATCTGGACAAATATCCTTAGCAGTAGTATCAAATTGTGCGCTTTAGAGAAGACGATCTTCAGATATTGGCCAGAAAGTTCTGCACAGAATCTGGACAAATATTCTTAAAAAAGTATCGAACAGTGCGCTTTTGAGAACGATCATAAGATATTGGCCAGAAAGTTCCTGCACAGAATCTGGACAAATATTAGAAAATGTATCAATTTGCAAGCTTTAAAGAAGACGATCATGAGATATTGGCCAGAAAGATCTGCACAGAATCAGGTCAAATATTCTTAGAAAATGTATCAATTTGTAAGCTTTAGAGAAGACGATCTTCAGATATTGGCCAGAAAATTGTGACCAGAATCTGGAAAATATTCTTAGAAAATGTATCAAATTGTGCGCTTTTGAGAAAACGATCATGAGATATTCGCTAGAAAGTTCTGCACAGAATCTTGACAAATATTCTTAGAAAAAGTATCAAAATTGTGCGCTTTTGAGAAGGCGATCATGAGATATTGGCCAGAAAGTTCTGGCCAGAATCTGGACAAATATTCTTGGAAAATTTATCTATTTGTAAGCTTTAGAGAAGACGATCTTCAGATATTGGCCAGAAAGTTCTGCATAGAATCTGGACAAATATTCTGAGACAAGTATCGAATTATGTGCAACATTTTTCAGTCTGTGCTACTTATGTACTTTATAATGGATTTAAATCTATTTAAAATTATATCGATTGTGGATTATGGACCTTAATAATAAACTAGATGATGTTTCATACGATAACATTTCCATGTTACACAAAATTATAAACAAAATAGCCCGAAGCCATACATTGTAAATTCGCACAAATCATGAAGGCGAGTTCGAACTAGTCCCAATTGATACTTTTATATTAATTTATGTTCATAAACAAAGCATAAATAAATATTCCAATCAATCACGACCTACAATTAAAATAATTAGTAAAATTCAAAATCACCTAGAGCCATTTCACCCAATTAATTAAATTTTAAAACAAACAAACATTGGAGCAAATTCAATAATAAAACACTAAGCGTGAATTCATTTCGATTAACAATATATAATATATATATTAAATTTTTTATATAATTTTGATGTTGAAATATGTGATATTCAGTTTTCAGGGCAATACATCAATTAAAAAATTGTATGACTTTAAAACATTTTTATTTATTCCATACGTTTCGACACATTGTTTTGTGTCATCTTCAGTGGACTCTAGATTGAAAGAACAGATAGAAATTATTAAATAAACTAATATATAAGAAGTGATATGGTATGAACTTACATGCAATTGAATTAATCCTAATTATTTCATATTATAAATGTTCACAATGCACAATCTTAATTATTTCATATTATAAATGTTCACAATGAACAATCCTAATTATTTCATATTATAAATGTTCACAGTGCACTAAAAAACTAATCCTTGTCATTTTAAGTTGAACAATATATAAATTTTGACTGAGATTTTTATGAATTTGTGAAGAACATCGCGCCATACATTTCTGTGCTCCGATGTATGGGTGCCT